GCAAAAAGCAGATGCAAGATAGAAACAGTGATCTTTGCAACATTTAAAACAAAAGCCTGACCAACACTAAAGAAAAATCAATGCTACTTGCAAAAATAGGCATGGCAGAAGAGATATAAAGATGCAAGACTGGTCCATGAGTTGCAAGAAACCCTATTTCTCTGTTTCTACTTAGAACACTTTAAGGGTGTGCCTTTAGGCAAGATGCAATTAACTGTGAAAGTAATCTTGGCTCTTTCTGGTACCAAATAAATCTACTTAACCCTGGAAAGCAACACCTTCAGATAAAGGGTGCTGTGTTCCCCATGAAGAGGCAGAAGCCTAACTCCAAAAGCCCTTAATCTAAGAACAGGGAGCTTCCAATACAGAAGCCAGTGCATCCCCAGGAATTGAGAGCTGTTGCCTTTCTACATCCTTTTCCTAGGTCACACAACGGCAGCCAGTGGGCAGCACCAGTGAAACCAAATGGTGTGGCAGAGGACACTGCCAGGCACACACTCATCTCCTGACACTGTGTGGACAACCAGCAAGTCCCAGGATCTCTAAGCCAGGTCTCCCAGATGAGCAAAGATCTTCCTCATGGATACTTCAGCGTCAAGTCCACATCCCAGATAAAGCGAGAAGAGCAGCCTCCCTTCCCAGAGACTCCTTTGGGTCCTGATAAAGTTACGCTAACCATAATAGCCTTGTTTTACGTATTACATGTACTGTAACACTGAAAATTGGTCTGCAGTTATGTAATTGCAGAGGAAATGGCTACAGCCCTGCTCAGCCCAGCTGAAAACACCATCCCACGACGTCTCCACCGCAGGCAGGGCTCCCAGGGGCTGCAAGGAAAGAGCTCCCATCCTGCCTGCAGGCAGAGCAGCAGCAGCAGAGGCAGAGGTGCCTGGGACTGTGCTCATACTTCACTGCCTGTCAGGTTTTCCATTGCAAACACTGCCGACACAGTTTATAGCTTGACCATTTCAAGCCACATCCATGCAAAACTTGGCAGAGAGGGAGGTGCTCTGGCCCTCCCTCTTCCACCTTAAAGAAATCTGTCAGATTCCTGCTTTAAAGTCACAACATTTCTTTTCTGCAACAGAAATACATTTTTAAGTCATTCCCCGAGGCTTTTTTTGGTTAAGGTTTAAAAGACGCCTATGTAGTCGACAGACAGGACTTACGTCAACTACTCACATAGTTTTTCTGAAACAACTCAGAAATGTTTAGATAGTGTTGGACAGAGCAGGTTGATTACACCATGCCTTTAAACAAATCACAGTCACTTCCAGCAAGAAACACAAGCCCTGTAACTACAGCCCCTTTCCAGACAACATCTGTAGAGACTGTAAACCTCCTTTTTTCTCCTGATGCATTACTACATGCAGATTTTCCTCCCAGCTAAGGAAAAAAAGAAACAGATAAGTATTCATCAGATACAACAGGCACATTGGGTATTTTGCTCTTATAAACAGAATTAAGGTCTGAAGGACAACTTTTGTTGAGCCAAGACAGGTGTTGGCTGCAAAAACCAAATGCTGAAGCCTGAGAGCTGGTACATTACTAAATAACTTGTTCTGAAGTACAACAGCTTTATTTAAGTCTAGCAAGGCTTGCTTCCACAGTAATTGCAGCAACAACCAGGTTATAGTGACCCTAAAGCTTCACAACTCAGATTAAAGGTTTTGTAATTATTCACCACATATACTACACTGACCTTACTCTTAAGTCATAACAGTGGAGAGAAGTTTGAACTTCAAATAATGTCCACATAATAACTTTCACTAGCACAAAACTTATCCAACTATTTCAGTGAAAGAGAAAACCAAATGAGACAAGGCCCTACCAAATGGGCTTGTACATATCTACCTGTGAGACACCTTAAACACCATCTCTTATATGAGAAAATTAACACTGAGCAATACTATAGAGTGTGACACATTAAGGTGAAGCTAAAGAAGCTTGATGAAATATCAGATAAGGCTTCAATAAATCATATACCAGATATTTTCCCTCCTTCTGCCTCTGCCCTATACACTGGGCTCTGAAAAAGCACAACTTACAACCCTTTAGGAAAGCACACAATTTGGAAGAAAAGATCAGAAAAGATGGTAACTGTAGCTCAGGCCGTAGAAGTGTGCAGAAGAAAGCACCCAGCAGGATGTAAAAAGTGCACCATCATTTGGAAACTGATTGTGACGCTCCTTTTGTAAAAAACATAGGGACATTTGACCAGAAAAAAGTAGGTGTTTCTTTCCTATGAAAGCCATGCAATAAAGCCAAGTTAAAGTTTCTTCTGCTCCAGAAAACAAAAGAACCATTTAAGTGTCCTTGGCATCAGCAGGCAATCCCACTCAGGCAAGGTTTTAAAATCAAACAATCATCTGTGCCTTTACACATGTAACCTCCCCACAGTACAGGTAAACACCCAAAGCAGACATGATATGCTATATACATGTCTGTACATACAAGGAAGTTCAAAATATTGGCCCAACATCACATCCAATCCACACTGTCCAGTTGGACAGGACTTTTCAGCTGTCAGCTAACAAGCTGTCCAGCCACTTCTCCTTCCTTCCACTGAAGACACTGTCTCTGCTGCAAGTGACATCCAAGTCACCTTTGACCATGCATCTCCTTTGCATGGATTAGAAGAATGAGCCTAATTTATACATCACAGGCAGAGGTTCACAACACTTACAAGGCAAACATACAGTCAAATAAAGCATTACACATGTGCATAGCCCAATAATCTTATTTTCTTGGAAATTATATCCCCATGTTCTTAGATGTCATAACCACATCTTCTAGGTTTGCTTGCTTACACTAAGCAGATACTCAAATTTAAGTCATAATTCATAAGTTCTGAAAGTTGAATTTTGACAAAATTTTGCTAGTTTCATTACATGCCCTCCAAACGTTCATCTGTACCTGAACAGACAAGATACAGTATTGAAGTCATTCCTGTGGTATCCCTAGTGTAGGGAAGAATTAAGAGACTGTTTGGAGTCCTGTTATTGGAACAACTAAATCATGAGCTCCCTACAAGAACAGTTAAAAAAGGCATCCAAGCAAGTGATGCTCTCTCCATCACCAATCTGTGACTTATGAGCTTATCTGTAGGTGTTTGGGTTTTTTTTAAAGATATAGATATCTTTATTTTGTATATATATATATATAAAGAACAAAAGCAGAGCATGGAATTCCAGGCTTCAAATTTCCTTTCTTGTTTATATGGACATGAAGGAATCTGGCTGCCAAGCATCAGAATATGGTTTCAAGAAGCATAATCCAAATTCAAGGATGTTCCCTGAGAAGAGTCCCATTCCAGGACCTACTAATTAATTCAAACCCTGAATTCTCCATTTCTATCTCTGCATACCATGTGGTTCAATACAATGTGGTCTGAACTGGGCAAGGCAGAGAGGCCACACTAAATGAAAACACAAAGGAACTGCAACTGGAATTCAGACACTTGCATTATTTAACAGCCCAATTAATTCCCTTGGCTCCAGAAGCCATTAGCCAAGACAAGGATACCATGAACATGAATGCAAGTTGCCACAATATAACCAGGCTTGCTCTGATGGCAGGGACACCCACTATTGACATGAGAAGCTGCAGGATTGGAAGGGACGATGCTTGTCCACTAGGCCAGACACAGTTCAAGAACTGAAGGCATTTTTCCCTCTTCAATCAAAACTGCTGCTGTTAAGTGGGGCAGTGAGCAGTTTGGTTTCCATTAGTTTTGTGGATGATACAGTCAGTACATAGGAGATGGTATTTCTGCCCACACCAGCCTGTGCCTTTCCACACACAATCCTTTTGGACTCCACATGAAATCACCAGCCAGCAAATGACTGTATCACTTTGAGCCAAACAAGCATGAGGCTCTCATACAACACAGAAATTACCACTCCATTAAAAGAAGGGAAAAAAAATACAATGCATGGTCATCTCTCTAGATAACCTGGCTCAAAGCTCTGGAAGCTGAATTTGAACCTCAGATCAGAGTGCCCGAGTGTTCCCAAGCTCTGCTGTGCCCAGCATACTCCAGAGCCTGCCAGTGGAGAGAGCCCTGAATGTGTAGGCACCACAACGTGAGCCTTGGCTTCAACAGATCCAAACGTCAGCAGCTCCTCTGGATGAGGACACACAAGTCACGAGTGGGCTGGAAACCAGTCCTGGACAACAGCTCTGGATTAATACACAAGGAGAGCTGGAGAGGAGGAGGGGGAGCTGCTGAAGACAGGCAGTTATTCAAACCAGCTGCTAAGCCACTCCAACCACTCACACGTACACAGCCTCCTGCATGTGTTCTGCCCAACTCAAAGCGACCAGGCATCCAAAAGTCAGAGTACAGAAAAGAAATCTATACAAACACTTGCCAAAAATCTCATTTTCCAAGTGCAAGCTGGTTATTCCACACATGGCAGAAGGGGATTTCATTTTGCTTTGACATTACAGCCCCTGCCTGTTTGCCTCAGAATTCCCCAATTAACACTTCTGCAAGAAGTTTTGAAACTGTGCATGGCCACGTATTTATCTACGCACATTCTCTCCCCTCCCTACTGAGCTCTGGGCCACGGGCTAAGCTGTCAAGCCAAGTTTCATCCCAAGCAATTTTTAAACACTCATCCTATAAATCCTCTGCAAAGGGAGTTAGTAATGGAAATACTGACAGAAACTTGAAGAGAAAGCAGGGCAACTATAGCAGCCTACTATACATCAGCTTCATTAGCTGCAGATCCTTCTCTCCGTCACCTTCATTTTCCATTAGCGTACCTTGGCTAATTAACACACAAAACCTATGAAACATTCTTACAGTAGAAGGCAACATTTGGCCCCCAGCCCAAATCAACATCGAAAAACTTCAACATCCTCTGCCAGACATAGTAACTGTACCAGATGGAGCAAATGTACAGCTAACAAGTAGTGATGAGGAAACTGAAAGCAGAGGAACAAATGCAAAAATCAGACCATTAGAAGAGGGAAAAGCAGCAAATATAACTTACCGCTTTCATTTTTCTCTATGACATCCACGACCTCTCCAGCCTGCAGGCTGATCTCAGAGTTCTCCTGCTTCTCATAGTTGGACACCACCACATATTGCTCCAGGATCATGGGTTCAGAGCTAGCATCAGCACCTGGGGAAGGGAAAAAGCAAGCCGTAAGCCAGCTTCCAGCCATGGCTCCTTGAGAGCGACCTCCGTCCATCCGATTCACAACAGGCCAACTTGTCACCAGAGCCAAGCGAATCAGCAAACAACCCTGGCTCGCAGCATGTCCCCAAATGGCTGGCCATATAGAAACAGCCTCCTCTGGCCCACAACCCAGCAGCACAGAGGGACATTGGAGAGAAGAAGAAGAAAAAAGGGGAGGAAAAAAAATATAAAAAAGGAGCCAAAAATGTGAATTAGTTGCACAGTTTCATGATGGATTCTGAAAATAAACCTCTTCCCAACATGGTTTCCACAATCCTTGCTCCCATTCAGAGAAAAAAATCCTGGGCAGAAGCAGTACAAATCCACAGCTGAGCCATCCCCCCAGTAAACCCAAAGAAGAAACAGCTCTCCCCTTGGCGGCTCAGCTCCTTCTCCACTCTAAAGGCTTGAGCTGAAAGTCAAGAGGGGGCTGTAGATGCCAATCATATTCGTCTGCACTGCAGCCCTTAAATAGAAACACATGAGCGGGGCTGAAAGAGAGGGAGGTGGGGTGGAGGGAGCGAGGGGAGGGCGGGGAAGAGTGTTTACTTGAAACAGAAGAAGAAAAAAAGTTACAGCGCCAGATCGCTGCTGCAGCCGGGCCGCCCCCCGCCCGCCCCGCGGTTCCGCATTCCCCCGGCAGCGCAGCCCCGGCGGGACGGGCTCGGCTCCCCCTCTGCATCGCCCTTCTGGAGCCCTCGCAGCCAGCCCCCAGTTGTTTGATTTCTCCTCGGAGCAAGGGCTTTCGGCTGTCAGAGCCATTTATGAATGAGAGCAGGCGCTCACGCCAACAGGGGCCACGAAAGGTGCAAAATAACGCTCTCCTCCCTTCCCCCACACCACTGGTCTTTTTAAAAAAATTGTTAATATTTCTGACTTTTTCACCCCCAAACCGAAGTCGTGCGTTTCGAGGAGGAGCCACGAGGCAGGCACAGCACAGTGCCAGATGTGGAGGGAGCCCTCGCTGCATCTCGGCTGCAGCGCAACACAAACAGCGCAGACTGCCGAGCCCCGGCACAGAGCGGCTGTGCTCGGCCCAGAAACCGCCCTGGGAAGTCATGAGAACCTCTCAGTTTAGGTCTGTACTTTGGGAGAGCCAACATGCCTTAATGCAAAATTATTTTACAGGTTTTCTCAATTACAGCTGTTTGGTTCGCTGGCATTATTAACATTTTACATATTAAGAGGCAGTTCTTGTCGCTCTGGATGAAGATGTCGATTGAAAGGGAAGGCAGAAGCAGATATACAACTTGCTGAATGTCCCATTTTACACAACAGGGACACAGCCAGGAGCAGACTTCGGGTTTTCCTGAATTTCTGATGACAAATTGGCTACAAGAGACGGGAAGGAAGCAGCATGGTCTGAAACTGTCCACCAGAAAAGTCAAGGGACTGACAGTCAAGCACAGGATGCTGGGTGCTATATTTCCAAACTCAGCATGTTCGTGTGCGTTTGGTCTGGAGATGCAAAGTGATTCTACAGACAAGTAATTAGCATCCCTGCCAAGAAAGGGTAAAGAATGCCTCAGCCATTAAAACAGCATCCTGTGAAATGAAAATCCTAGAAAAAAAAAGCAATTAATTCAACTGTTTCCTGAAGGGAAACACTATCACAATGCCTCCCCTTGGACCAGGTTTAAGAAATCCAGAAAATTAGAAGACTTACTTGCTCCCTAAGCATGCCTCTGCCTCTCCTCAAATTACGTAAGTTAATTTTCTTTAAAGAGGAGTCATCTCCTCTAGAAGCCTGTGTTTAAGAGATTTAGCTTTTCTATAGATAGTTGAACCACAGCCAGTAGCAGGAATAGGAGGAGAAGACCATGAACTGACAACATGGAAATTTATAATACAAATTTTCACCATAGCTGTCCATTCCAAATAAGCATCATGTTTCTCTTCATGATCAATCAACCTGACTCATGCACTCTGGTTTAAACCAGTGCTAGTTGGGCTATCTAGACTACAATGAGATGCTTTCCCCTGTTTCACACTGTATCCCACACAGTCTTCTCTCCAGTCCAGAATCCAGCAGCATTATAATCTTTCTTCAACCTGCTTAGGCAAGTAATACCTACAACCCCTACTTTGTTTTAGTCTTGAGAAAAATACAAGTTTTTTAACTAGAAACAAAAGCTGTCATGGACTTACGTCTGCACATGCACCCAGCAGAGAATTCAATGTGTAGAAAGGCAAAAGGGACCAAACAGTGGCTAGGGGAGCAGGGGACATGCAGGAAGCTAATTGCTAAACCAAGAACTCAAATGCCTTCATTTCTCCAACCTACTGGGCCGTTTTCATGGGACTGGCGTAAGGACAAAAAAAATCCAAAAGACTGCACAGGCTTGCTGGCAGGAGCAGCGTTCATGTGATGCATGTGTCCCTGCTGGGAACAAAGAGAGGACCAGGCTGGAGCACAGGCTGGCAAACACCCCACCAGCAGCCACAGAGGCCACGCCAGGGACCGTGTGCCAGGGGAATGCCCTTGCCAGGAAACACGGAGAAGCAGCACTTCAAATCCACCTCCACAACGCCAAAAAAAAAGCACTTAAAACAGTTTGGCAAGATAGGTTATATCTGCATTCTCATATCTGAAACCCAGCAGGGTTTCTCTGGGTTGCTGTGCCCTGCCTTGGATAAGGTAGTCACTGCAGGAGGATTTCTTTGTCACTACAGTGGCTGGAAGAACTCATACAATTAAGAGATTGTTTTAACAGACGCTTGTATAACTGTTACAGGGCTCCTATTAAGACAAAAAAAATAGGGTGATAAATTCCTTGTTCTAGGAAGTAACCAAGGTCAAACAAACTTGTTCATTTACAGCTGCAGCAGATCATGCCTAGAGGATATCCCCCTTTCGAGGCGTGGGGTCCCTGTGGCTCCTGGAGTGATGGTCACCCAAGATTACGTACTGCACAATGGGGAAAGATTTCAGTAAGAGCAAAGAAAGGAAGAAGAGGAGGAGGAAAAGACAGAGAAACAGCTCCTTCCAGTAACCAAAAGCCTTAACCATTTTCTGGGTAGCCTGGTTTGGGTTGTTACTACATTACCTTCAGGCACAGTCAGTAGAGTAAGGGACTCTAATCCTCCTCAGCCTCCCATCCCCCACAAGCTTTAGATGAATTACTGCTCAGTGACACTCAGGATGCCCACAACATTGCTGCTACACTATGTCAGACTCTCCAAAAGGGATTCAAAAGAACAAGACAGGCAACACCACAGGCAGCACAGCACCAATTACACCCACAGCCCTGGGCGCTTCCGCATCCCTCCAATTAGTTTAGGTCTAATTTGTAACGCAGGACACAGCATGCATTGAACAGTAACAGCCTGCTCAGTGTCAGCACACCAGGGACAGGGATGCAGCATGGCACGAGTTCCCCAGCCAGCTCACATGCAACTGCAACGCCACCCTGACACAACAGCCCTACTTTTTAGAAAGCGTCTTCAGCCCAGGCAGGAGAAACGGAGAGCAGAGGACAGCATAACAGTGATGTGCCAGGTAAAGGTCCCCCCTCCTCTCCCTCCAAAAAAGCAGAATTAGTGTTTTGGTTAAGCTCCAACTTGCAAGCCCTCCCCAGAGCAGAGCACAGATTGCTGGCTGAAATAAGAGTTTGCTTGCCTCTCCATTTCTTTTTGCCTCGAGTCCGTTTCCCGGTTAAAGTCTTGAGGATACCCCTCCTCCTCTCCATAGGGCTCCACTTTACAATCCTCCCGCTCCTCACCTCAGCACTTCTCTTCTTGGGGCGGAGCAGAAATGTCATTGGAGCTTGTCCATGCCCCTCACAGCTGGCACTATTAAGTGACAGCAGTTGCACCCTGTCCCCCTCACCAGGCAGCGAGGAGGGAGCATCATTCCTCCTGCTACACTCGGAGACCAGCAACGACTGTGAAAGAAAGCCTCCTAAATAAGAGCGCAGAACGTCCGTTCCAACAACATCATCCTCCTCCTCCTGTGTTGCAACAGCTAGGGCCTATGATGGTTTTGCAATAGCCAAAAATGAAAACCACCAACTGGACTCCAAAAATAAAATCATCTGGATATGGGAATGTGAGACTCCTGATCTTTGCCAGATTACTCTGTTGTTATCAGGCTATAAACATGTCTGCTCTTTTAAACCATACAGTGCACAGGCTTTTATATTGCTCTTTCATGATTATCAATCAAATGTTTACAGATTAAAACTAAAATGAATTAGTACTGGGCTGGTCAGTGGAAGTCCTGCAGAAGCAGCCAAAACCACAGCAACGGCCAGTGAACGCCACAGGGGTGAGTCACAGCTGAAGAACCAACTGGCAGGTAGTCCAGCCCTGCCGACATGGGCACAGCTGCTGGGACACGTGCAGAGCCTGGGGTGCCTGGCAGACACGGCCCCGAGTGTCCTGCCATTCCAGAAGATAATGGCAGAGCTCTGCACTTTTCCACGCACAGGGAGGAGTAACTGTGGTAGCTTGGATCTAGAGCTGCGGTTTCTCGTTAAAGCCAGTTCTTGAAGGGTAAACTTTTATGTATCTCTGGAAAAGTCCTTCTGGGGAAGGATGAAGGGAAAAAAAAAAGCCCAGAATAGCAGCAAGCCTACTTAAAATCTTCAGACCAGTCTAACCCCTTACAGCAATCACACACCCAGCTCTAAACACATGGAATTCCTTCCCCTAAAAACTTCATCTCTTTTCTTTCTTATCAGAAGGACCACATGACTATAATATATAAACATTAAAATTGCATGTTTCCTTTAAGCCTTCTACCTGTGATTTAACCTGAATAGTGTTAAGACAGAGAGCTTAGGTCTGTCTAAAAATTGGGTTAAGTGTGCATTGTACACAAGATAAAACAGGCTTTGCCATGTAATGCATGTGAGAGTACACCAGAGTTCATCACATCACAGCAGTGTTGGAAAAGCAGTTCTTAAAATAACCAGTTCCTAGAATAAGCAGTGAGATGAGACTAATGAAGCCTGCTACAAATCTCTATGGGGACAACATGGATTCAGATCAAAACTGTGTTTCCCAGTCTAGGATCTCGCTTCTATTCAGTGAGAGGGTTTTTTTTCTTGTCTTGGTGTTTTGGATTTTTGTTCATTTTTTGTTCTTTGTGTGCCCTAAACAATCAGGGCTTTGACTCATCTCTTAGATACTCCTGCACTGCAGCCTGTCACGCTTCAGCCCCGTTGCCACTACCAAAATTCAGGCTGTATTTATACATCAGTTATTCCTGGAGGTAAGACTACTACTGCCACAAGCTGTGAGTGAAGGGGATTCATCTTCATCCCTCCCACCAGACAGCAATCCTCCCAATCCTAATAGTGTTTAGCCTCAGAGCTCAGAGGCTTTTGGTGTAGCGGCCCTGAGCCACAAAGCTTTAGGGACAGAGACAAAAGTTTATCACCTCCCACAGTTATTTCAGAAATTCAGTACAAAGCCAGTCTCAAGGTCTGGATTATTGCCAATTATAGAAGAAAAACATTTGGGCAAGTTTATCAAATGGGTTATTAATACACTGTGATTTCTGTAGTTCTTCCCTGAGCCTGGCCAGGTAGCTCTTTTACAAAGCACAAAGACACTCTACTGCATTTTCAGAAGAGAGTTTCAGAAGCAGGTGACACTGCTATTAGACAGAGATGGGTGGAATGCAGAAAGGGAATGGTTTGGATCCAACCACCTATGTAATGCAGAAGACTCAAAGCCAGGGAAGTTCAGCCTAAAACCTTGTCTAAAGCCCATAGAATGCCCGAGAAGAAAACAAGGTTGAGCATCATGCACCCAGCAATGGCCAGGTCAGCATGTAAACCTTCTCACCCCAGCCTGGCAGCTGTAATTGGTGTACAAGAAGTTTCTCCCTAAGTGAGAGGGAGAAACTTCTTCCAACCATCCACCTTCTTTGCTCGTGTGCTCTGCAAGCCTTTCAGGACATGGGGCAATAGTAGCCAACAGCACACGTTGCCACCAAGAGGAGACTATGATCAGCAATCACAGCAGCAAAAAATTAATTGGATGCCTGATTAATTCCCCACCACAGGACACACGTAATAATTTCTGTCACTGGCTGAGCCTTCAAGAGTCTGGGACAAGTGGCAGCTTTAACTGTAGACTGTGGCTTCCAGCCCTGGAGCGTGTGTGACACACAGCTACAACCTGCAGCAAAACACAGCCCCCACGGGGAGCCTCAGGAATGAGCCTGGCCCATGGTAAATGGCAGGAGCTCTCTCAAGCAGCTGCTCCAGTTCAGTTCTTTCCTCTTTACAGCCCTCAGCAGCATTTCCAACGAAATCCTGACCAACAGAAAAATTCAGTGCTGACCTTTGCCAAGTGGAGCCTATTGGTCTCGGGATTATTATTTTTTATTTTTGATCTGCTAGGTTTTAAAATAGAGCCAAGAAAAATTAGAGGCAGGAGGGTGAAAGTAAAAAGTTGAGTCCTCTTTCCACTCCTTCTTGGAAAGTTGGCTCTCTGAACAGTGATTTCAACCAACTAGGTTACAGGTAGCAACAGTTAAGAATACTTAAGTAGTATTTTGCACACAAATCTGTTAAACTGCTTGGAGATTTTCACACAGCTGCCAAACTGGGTCTTCCACCAGGCTGAAGTCACCAATATACTCTGGCATTCGTCCTAGTCCTGCTCAGTGGTGCAACACATTCCCATCCCTCCACAAGGCACAAAGCAACCAGCCAAGGATTTTAACAGCAGCCAGGGTAACCAAACTAGAGTCCCACCACAGCACCTCCCAGGATGTGGCTGTGTGGCACCCATCTCTTTCCAAAGTACAAAATGAAACCACTTTAATGTCTTGGTTAGAGTCTGTACTTCATGGAGCACGTTCATAACCTCAGCTAGAGCTTGGGCAGCATGAAACTGGCTTCTCTTCTCATCTCCAAGCCACAGCCTAGCTAGGACACATAAATGTACTACATAGGTAAAGATCACATCCAAATTCAAGTCTGATCTACCAGCTTGACACATCATAGGATACAGCCTATGGCAGATCTGGACTGAAGAACAGCTGTTTTGGAAACTGGGGATTCATTTGGATAAGAAACTGAAAGGCCACGTGAACTAGAACAGCATGGGGAGCTAAGAACTTGCCAAATGTACATAAGACTTTTGAGCAGCACTATGTATCAATATTCACCTTCTCGAGCACCATGCAATGAAATGAATCACTTATATTTGCACACTCATCATGCACTTCTTTACTGCCAATCTAGCAACATGCATTTAGCTAAAAGCAGTAAGCAGAAGGAAAAAAATTGTATCTATTAAAGACTTTGCTTCCTTGCCCTTTGAGAAGACTAAAAACCTTGGCATATCACGACACAAAACAGTCCCAATAGACCTATTGAGTCAAAGAAACCCAACCTGACCGCCCACCCAGGTAATCTGAGGGGTTCTTGTTATTCTTCCTGAGGGACACCACCTCTTCTGTCTCCTCCTTAACATGTTTCTCTCCTGCTCAGTCTCATTCTGTTTTTCTATCTCAACTTCCCCATGACCTACAAAGCAGCAGGCTCCTGTGACTGAATACTTCAGATATTTCTGCACTTTTATATCCAGTTACCACCCTCAAATTAGACCTATTCTGCAAAGATGAAGCAGAATCCCCCAAGAAAATATTCAACTTCTGTCAAGAACAGCGTTTCTGGAATCACAGCAGTCTTGCTCACACACAAAAAAAAAAAAAAAAATCAGACAAGCAAGCACTCATCCATCAAGGATGGTGGGATTTTGTTCACATACTTCCAACAGGGCATGAACTTGAATATTTACCAAATCTGCTATGAAAATCAGCAGGAGTGTTTCCATCTTTCCTTGCCCCGGGACCTATATGTAGCCTTAACTGCTTGAGTGACCAGCCCAGCATCCTGTACAGACACAGGATCTATCACTTGTGATCTCTCCTTCTAAGTCTGAAGGAGAAGGGAATTCTTCTGTGATATTCCATGTCAAGTGACAAATATTTGCTGAAGAAATCCACTGGTTACACAGCAGAAGTCCTGATTCCTTATAGTATAGAGTTTAGTTTTTGCCTTGCATGGGACTACTGCTCCCCAGCCCCTGACACCTCACCTAGAATCTGTTCCCCTGCTTCTTCCTCCTTCCTGATGTATTGCAACAAGAAGGCTGATGCTCCCTTGAAAATTTTGCATCTTTACCAGAGTTTCAACTTTTTCATGTGAAACCACTTCTATTTACTGGGGAAATGCAAAGAACATTTCAGAAGGATGAGGAGCACGCAGTCATGTTTCTCTGCCTTATCCTGACCCATAAAGTTTCTCCCACATGGAACAGTAAGAGCACAGCTGTGCAGGTACCCAGCTGTGGCCAAACTCAACCAACCACAAAAGGGAAAGCTGCCTTGGACCAAGGCTTTGAGCTGGGCAAGGAAAATAAAACCCTGCAAACTACTAACCCCTACTAGCACCAACATCAAGGTGAAGCAGTCATCAGAAAAGCAAAGCTCTTCCTTACCAGAAATCATGCATCATGAAAAACCAATACACAAGCAGACAACAGATCCTGGGTATCCACTGTCAGAGATTCACATTCAAGACAACTCCAAAACCACACACAGCTTGAACTAGAGAATTCTGGTTTTAATAGCATGCAGAACACCAAGACACAAGAATTTACCTGGAGTGACACTCTTTTTTGGAGTCTCAGACAAACTGGACATCCAAACTTGAAATCCAATCATAGGGCAGCCATGAAAAAAGAAAGTAATTAGAGACACAAGAGAACAGTCAAAACAAGTCATATCAGAAAGTCTGAGAGTTAGTAAAGACAGCTTTGAAAGAGGCAAAGTTTTTCGTAAGAGTAGTGTTGGCATGATGGGGACTCAGAGGAAGGTCAGGTCATAAGAAGCACCCAGTTAATTTTTATGTTTTAGTGGATTTGCAGAACTTCTGAAACTGATCTGTAGGTGATCCAATTTTGAGCTGTAAGAAAACGATATGCCCTGAGCTTATTCCCAGTAGCTCAGAAGACACATACCATGAGACAGTTTGACTTACTAAGCCTCAGACCTGCAAAACTATTTATCTTTGCAGCTGTTAATCATACCCAAAAGACACATAGACAACTCGCAGAGATTGAGCATAGCAAACACATATAAGTTTCTACAAGCATCTTGTTACTATGGACTTACATTAAGGAAAATAACAATAGACAAATAATGCTCCACAGAAAAGAGTACAAAGCTCCAATAAAGGTACATTCAGAGTATAAGTAGAAAATCCATTTTTTAACCAATGAATGAGACAGAGATCAGGTTAAGGTAAAAATTGATAGGAGATGCTGCCAACAAGGTCAAAAGGTTTCCCTCCCCCTCCATGAAATGAGGTGGAAATACTTGGCTTGGGAATTTGGGAATAATCTTCAAATGTTAAGTGTTAATTTCTTCTTGAGTACACTGGAAATGTGTTTTGAAAGTTAACAGATTTTCCCCCATTTCTAAACAACAAACATTCCCCTTCTGTGGGATGAAGGAGCAGAAGGGCAGCTGTGACTCTATCCTTGCCTGGGAGAAGAGACATCTAGAAAGAGATGTTTATATGACAATCTAAGAATTTCCTAAATTCTGACAACCCCAAAATGCAGTTTGAAAAACCTGTTTGCTATGGGGAGCCCTGTTCTGGACGCAGCAGTTTAACAACAGAGAAGATGCACCCATCAACCAACTGGAGAGAAAAGCAGGCTATACTGGTGGCCTTGTCTATTTGTTACTGTCTTTTGAATTGCAGAGTATCTCCAAGACAGTAAAAAGATGAATAGATAACAATGTAATAGATTCACAGTACACATGGAACTGAGGAATTGCTAGCATGATACAACTGTTAAGAAACAGCTTTCAAACTTTTCCAATGGAAACCAGAGGTCCAAGAAACACATTGCTGTTTTCTCAGCACTAAGGGAATGCTGAGGTTTTGAAATCCTTTCTTTAAATTAGGGACACAATTTTCATTGTGTAGTTGCACTGCAATTCAAATGGATTCAGTACTTTGACTACTTTGCAGTGAACTTTCTATAGTGGCAACTTGGAGAAAATCCTCAAGTCTTTCAACCATCTGACTCTCAAACCCATGTGCTGCACTGTCACAATACACTACAAAATACACAGTGGTAAATAACAATAATTTACTTTGGACTACCATTTAAGAAAAAATGAAAAAGGCTTAGCATTGGTGGAGTGCAACAGGAAATAATCTGGCAGAGTAACTTGTGCTGTAGCTCATGGAGGGAATCTACAGCATGTTTCTGTTACAGACTTGGGCACGCACGGGAAAGGGTGTGAAGGATTTGTTGTCAGCAACTTGTCTATTAGCTTTTGAGTAGACTTCCACTGCCTTCAGAGCACAATTATGAACTTCAGTCAGCTGTCAGATCTTTTTCCAGACAGAAGAACCTGAATGCGACAATGATAAATCAAGCAGATGATGTATTGCAGGAGTAACTGAGAAAGTTTCAAAGTTTGCCCCCACCCAAGCTGCAGCAAAAGACAGAAACATCCAAAGTTAGAGGAGATACACTGCACTTAACACAAGTTTAGGGCTACTCTGCATCTGTCTACCCAAGAAGAGAGTTTAAACCTAGACCAACAGTAGCCACATCAACAGACACCCATGTGAGATCTCACCATAAATAAAGCAATTCTGTTAGCGATTAGCAATTTCTCAAAAAAACTTCTTTTTAAGCAAAGTATTTTTTCTCCTTGTCAAAACTATTGGCTTAAGCCAGAAAAGAAGGGCAATATAAGTATTAACTGGTAAACAATCCCACAGGTCACCAGTGTGAGCTTCCCAGCCCAGGAAGCAGCATAAAAGCAGCAGCACTTCTGAGCTGCCCCAGCCTGACAGCAGCTAAAAGTGGATGAGGTTGCTTCTGAAGCAGAAGACAGCCAGCATATTTCAGCTGCTCCTGCACATCTGCTTAGTATTAAACTTCCTTCTTGGGGATTTTTTTTTTTTTTATTCCAAGACGTTTAAGCTCTAATTGCTACCAGCTTTTAAGAGTCCCCCCTACAAATAATAAAAATATCAGACATTAGTGATAGATTCCACTTCACAGAGAGCTCAAACGAAGAGCCGCGGCGGGAGCCAGCGTACGGGGAGGAGGTCAGAGGCCTCAGAAACATGCTGTGCCTGAGCCAACAAAACACAAGCTTTGAACAGCCCCAGGTTTCCCCTTTAGGACAGGGTTTTACTGGAATTCTGCATGAGGCTTGGAGCTGGTTTCCAATGGGATTGGTAACAGCAAATGAACAAACCTTCGCTTCCTGCCACTCCTCTCCCCCACTGCCACACGGCTGAACACTGGCTGGTCTCAGATCACTTGGAAGTGCAGGGCGGGGGAAATCTCAATATCTGGAAGGAAAATTAAAGCTGCCTGCTCAAAGCAGGCCACTCCTAGGGCAATGGCATCCCAATTCTGCTCTTAACACTAGTCCCCACAGCTGCCAACTTCAACTGGAGCCAGAACAAACTCCTCCTACTGGAATTATTTTTAAAAGCTCAAAAGGAACATGAATCCATAAATTACAGCTCAGTCACGAGGCCGAGGCAGTTGTGAAGAGCACAGAGGAGGCTTTCCTTCAGAGCCACACTGCACAGAAATAGCAGCACAGCAGGCACGTCACTGGAAGTGGCTGCTGAACCCCATCCCATCACTTTCAAGCTGCCACGATGGAGCTGGGCAACCCCCCCACGGGTCAAGGGGGTTCCTCAGGTGTGAAGGAAAAGGAAGGAGTTGGAGGGCAAAAAGCTTTGAAGGCAAAATTAAGCTGGTTGCTACGGTGAACATGAAACATATTATTCTAGATTTCAGCAGAAGCTTTTGTGCTGCCAGTGAGACTGGTTTGCTTGCTGCTCCTCCCACCTCTGGCAAGAGAGCAGGCGCCAGACTGCTGGGGACTAATGCTTTATGCTTGTGATACAGCTCCACTCATCTCATTTTAGCAGCAGACTATTTGTCTTGTGAACAGATAGAGCAGAGCAAACTTCCACAAAAACCTGCTATAGCTGGAGTCAGCCTAGAATCACATGCATGAGCTCAATCTACCAAAATCCAGGTACCACATTCATGGTACACATCAGTGCTGCACATCCAGGTGGGCTCCTGCCCCAGGCAGGTGCAGAAGAACTCCTCCTCCATGGGCATTTCAGCAGCAGCTACTGATGCAGGTTTCTTTTGTTAGTAACCCTGTCTGAAATGTTCAGTTCAGTGTTGAGCCCAGCATCCATGATGTAACACGGCTGCTAGCACCAGGAAGGACACTCTCCTACAGAATCACAGTTGCTGGGGCTAGCAGGGACCTTTATAACAAGCTTTTTTTAAAATAAAAAGCTGTCTAGCTTGTTAAGCTACATATTTCCCAACAACAGTCCTGCAGTAATTGTGGGCAATTGGATCATACTGGTCATGAGTTTCTGTGGTTGTAGTTCTGGAGATATAACCCTTGCCCCAAAAGATTTCTGTGCATAGCTGAGAAATCAGCACAGGCCAAAGACAGGCCCCTACCAGTGATCTGGATGTGGCTACCTTGCTTTGGAGGGCAAAGAGTTTAATTACACAGGTATGGCCTGCTCTTTGGTAGTGGTCTTCCATAGAAGATAACAGTCCCAGGGCCATTTAACTAATAAAACTGTTTTGTTCTCATAAAGCCTTTAATATCAACTGGGAATACCAAAATCTCCCAGCTGTTACAGTGCAACTTAAATTACTGAAAAAGGGATTATAAGAACAAGTGGCCATACTGAAGAGATACTGACATCTGGTCCTTTTCCAACAGTGGTCTGTTCCATGAGTGCAGCTGAGTGGTTTGCAGACTCATTTTGTAGACTTATACCCTTCCTGTCTTAATTGGAGGGGTGAAAAGAAAATAAGCAATGCAATCAGTGATTCCTCAGACTGGAACTGGGGGAAATAAATGCTTCTTCTAAGGAATGGGTGTGTTCTCATGCCAACAGTGGTATCTGACAAGTCAGCAAGAAGTGGGCTGACCACACTGTTCCTTAAATGTGTCCACTTCTTAGAACTGGCCTAGAACCTTGTTGGCTGCAATGTTCATCACATATGGCAGAGCAGAAGTTAAGCCTGTATCTTCATTTTGGAAGACAAGCCTGCCAAGGAGTTGGCATACATGAAGCACTATGTTGTTGTCCTGGGGGCTCAGGTGCAACACCTTACTGCCCCAAGCAGGTAAAGAACCCAAAAGTCAAGCTCAGTCTACTCAGTCCAGAGCTTCTTACTGGGGTTTTGCCTCCACTTCCCCCCTTCTTGCTTCCTTTCTGCACTCTTCAGACAAGCAAAGGAACAACCTTCTCCTCCTGACAAGGTGAGGCTGCCCAGTCAAGAGCAGAAAACTCAGTGAGGAACACCAAAACTGTGGGGCTTGTTTCTGCTTCCATCTGCAGACAGTGCACCATGCTCATATACTTGTGATCCTCCCCAAAATCTCCATCCCCCAGATCCACTGACCATCCTTTGTCAGCCTTCCTCCAGGTTTCTCTCCTCTTGTCACTTCCTCTTCAGCTGGGGCTTGACACTTCGGTTAAATGGGAAGGCACTAAAATGCAACAGTACTAGACCAGGGAGGAAGCAGAAATACTTGGTTTGCTAAGCTCCCCCCAGAAGTGGAAGTACTTTTATGAGAGAATTCCTCTGATGCAGAGTCTATGTGTAGT